GAGGAGTTCTCTCGAGGGGACTAAAATTTTCATCAAATTGCTTAAAAGAGTTTCTTCATCAATCAAATTTTACATTAAATGTGCAGGGTCTAGGGTCCTTTCTGCCCAATAATTTTGGTCAAAAATATTTATTCTTTGATTAATTTATTAGTGAATTTTTGTTTGCACATATATAATCATACCATGTCATCTTTTGAGTAGAAACTTAATTTATTACAAAAATAAATTCAGATCACATTTTTACAAAAAAAATCCTGTTAAATATTAGTATTGCTATATGATTTGACTTGTTGAATTCATATTAATTATTGATGTTTCTAAACGGTTCATTAAGAATTCTTTAATTCATTCTTACTAGGTGCAGAATTCAACATAATTAACCATCTCATTTTAAATTGTGACAAATACTATGGAAAAAATAAAAATAAAAATAAAATAAATATGCATATAAAAAAGAAAATAATACAAGAAAACTCTTTTAAGCATGAAGAGATAAATATATTATTTCATCCTTCTAACAACATACCATACATCTACGTAAAAAATAAGCACAGCAACATTTGCCTTCTTTGCACACTGTTGTAAAGCAATTTTCTGAAATACACGAAAAAAAAATGTTATACACATTAAAAAAAAAAAGATTATAAAATTAGATATATTTCAATCAATAAAAAATATAAAAGATTAAAAGTATATATGAAATTTGTAATAGTTAACATACTTGTTTTTTTTATGGCAGTGCTACGACTTGGAAAAAATAATTCATATGTTGTTGGTTGAGGTGCAAATAATGGCTCTTGTGTAGCATAAATTAATGGTGAATAAAAAACAAACATGATAAAAATCATGCATATTATAGCATTCTTTGATTTTTCCATCTCAAACAATTACTTGTGATACTTAGAGCCTAGAGGTACTGATAATGGTTCCTTTTATAGTGAAAATACAAAGAGATTTTCAAAGTTGTTACATATAATAATTAGTATGCATTAAAAGGAGATTACAAAAAATTAAAATATAGATATATACACATTAACTTGGTCAAGTTTTTTTTTTGTAAAATAAAGGGCGAACGTCAAAAATATCCCCTCAACTTTCATCTGATCATTTATATCTTGCTCTTATCAAGCTTAATAGATATACCCTTTAATTTGATGGTTTCTCCAAATCGATTAAAATTACTCAATTTTAATTAAAATTATCTGACTTCATCTTTTTAATTCGAATTCAGTTCACTAAACTAAACAAAACTCATAACAGAAAAGGCTCATTTATGTTATCTGTCAAAAGTTTGGCTCATCAAGAAAGACTTCATTCATGTCATTATTTGTCATTGAAAATAGTTCCCGTTTTGCAAAATCATTTTTTACACGTGGTCAATTAGGATTCGGCCGTATCATAAGGCATAAAATGGTGCTCCATTGGTTTCAATCTATTCGTCTTATTCCTTTTCTTTTTAATCTGTTTCAAAAAAAAAAAAATCTTTCCTTTTTTAGCAATTTTTATTTTTAATTTTCCACCTAATATGTTTAAGACTCCACGAATATTTTGGTACTTTTTACATATGTTTAATTTAGGACCCCAAAATTTTCAATTCCTTTTTAATTTCCTGAATTATGTGTCAAGTCAAAACAAAACAAATAAATTGAAATCGCTTATATATCATTGTGCTTGTGGTATGCACTCCTCACTTCCAACCTCAAAATTGTCACCGAATGAGCAAAAAGATAGAAGCTCCAAGAAGGGGTAAAAAAAAATTTTACTTAGCAGATCAATTATTCTTTCATATCTTGTATTATGACTAATCAAATCGTAATTTATGAATGTGTTTTCAGAAAATGCTTCATACTTTTTTTATTCGATCAATAGAATTCTTTAATCGAAATCTCTATCACATATCAATTTTGGAGTTAACTTAATTTTAAAAAATACTATATTAATTTTGAGGGGTGACTTAACAAATGAAAACTCAATCCAAAGTAGCAAAATCAATTATTGAAACATAGTTTTCTCACTTTCTGCACCAAATAGATTTTTTTTAAAAGTAGGTCATTATTTTTTAAACGCAAGAAGTATATTATTTCTATAAATACGCTAGTTGGTAACGAATTTTATCATAACAATTAAAATATACTAGAAGATTTTCTTTATTTCAAAATAATTAAAATATACTAGAAGATTTTTTTTTTTAATTTCATAACAATTAATTATACTAGAAGATTTTATTTTTTTAATTTCATAACAATTAAATATACTAGAAGATTTTGTTTCATACTAATCATGACAACATGTTATACATCTAGTTCTAAAATAAATACAGCAACATTTGTAATTGCACAACGGTGAAGAGCAATTTCCTGAAATACACGAAATAAATATGTTATATACATTAAAAAAAAGTTATAAAATAAATTATTATAGAGATACTATCATGAACTTGTCAAAAGGAAGAAGAATCTACAAATTAATAAATTATGAAGCCAAAATATGCATTTATAATCACGATAAATAAAAATAATCATACAAGTAACAGAGATTTGAATCTATTAATGTTAAAATTGCATTATAAAATGAGGAAAATAAATTATATTGAAATTTCAACATCAGATTTTAATTTTAAACATTCCAAATTTATAAAATTAGATATATCTCAATCAACAAGAGGAATAAAACAATAAAAAGACTAAAAGTATGAAATTTGTAATAGTGAACATACTTGTTTTTTTCATGGCAATGCTACGACTTGGAAAAAATAAATCAAATGTTGTTGTTGGTTGAGGTGAAAATAGTGGCTCTTGTGTAGCATGAATTAATAGTGAATAAAAAACAAACATGATAAAAATCATGCATATTATAGCATTCTTTGATTTTTCCATCTCAAACAATTATTTGTGATACTTAATTAGATGTGTTTGTACTTTGTAGGTACTTGATAATGGTTCCTTTTATACTGAAAATACAAGAGATTTTCAAAGTAAGTTGGTACATATAATAATTAGTATGCCTTAAAAGGAGATTACAAAAATTAAATATAGATAATGTAAACATTAACTTGGTCAAGTTTCTTGTAAAATAAAGGGGAAAAGACATAAGTACCCTCCAAATTATATCCAAAATTTCATCGACATATTTAAACTTAACTAGGGTCCTATTATTTCTCTAAACTATGATTTCATGTCCAAATGCTATGAGCATAATTTTCAAGTTAGTTTTAGAGGGTGTTTGAATTGACTTAAAAGTTGGTCAAATCTACTTTTAAGTCAGTTTTTAACTTCTGAAAGTGTTTGACAAATATAAAAAAATAACTTAAAATAAGTCAAAAATGACTTAAAATAAGTGTAAAATGACTAATAAATCAAAAATCAAAAGTAGGTCTCCCCCTACTTTTTATTTTTTAACTTAAAAATCATTTCAGTTTTACTTTTTATTTTTAACTTAAAAGTCACTTTTTTTAAATCAATTCAAACGGGCTCTTAGTGTTGACTCTTTAAGTACTTAGTTTATGAGGAAATCTAGTCAAAAGAATCAATTATTAGTACTTCCTCTCTTTGTTTTATATTATTTGGCCTTTATATTAAAAGTAATTATTTCAAGTTACTTGTCCAAATTATAAAATAAAGAGAATTTTATTATAAATTAATAATTAATTGGATGACCATTAATATTCGGTAACTAAATAATTTCTCCCAACATTCATGTTTTACTTACCCACCCTTAAAAATAAATAAAGAAATAATTTTACTATATCACTCATAATTATTATAAATCATATTAATATTAGAAAATGAAAAGTACTTAATAATAAAGGTAACAGGACGTAAAATGGTGCTCCATCAGTTTCAATTTGTTTATCTTACTTTTCATTTTAATATGTTTTAAAAAGAATTTTTCTTTCTCTTTTTAGCAATTCCTTAATTTCAACTTTCCACATGATATGTTTAAGACTCCATGATTAAAACACATTTTGATACATTCTACATATGCTTAGTTTAAGACCACAAGATTCAGAAGTCTTCTTAACTTTCCCAAACTATGTCAAGCCAAAACCAGAGAAGTGAGTAAGTTATCTCTTGATTTTTCAAATTGAACAAATCTATGTAAGTATAGTGGACAGTGGCGAAGCCATGAATTTGAGGTGTGCAAATTTTCTTCTCAGTTGTGCTAAGACAGAGTAAAATAAGATATACATTCTACTAACATTTTACCCTACATAATTTTCAAGCGAAGGGTGTGTACCAAACCGCCCTTCACCTAAGATGACTCTGTCCTGATAGTGGACAATTTAAACAGTCTTACATAGCTAGTCAATCAGTAAAAACATTTAACTTCTTGAATCGTTCACACAGGATCCGATCCACGATGCTGCAGAATAGCATGTCAATACTTCTTCTTGCATAGCATCTTGTGCTTTACTGATTCAGTTTGAGCTGCAAAACTTTTGTGATCATTTGTTGTTGACGCGTTCCAAGCTCTTCCTGTCAATGTGCTTGGTAGTTTCTGTGACCTATCCAAAATGACTTTAATAGCATCTAGATTCTTCATGATGCACTCTTGGCTCTATTGAACTTCGCTTGAATCTTCATAGTTCGATGTACTTCCTCCACCTGCTCATGCAAACTATAGTTCCTTGCTATCTGAAATTTAAAGATGCAAATCATCAGCTTCACCGATATTCTCTCTTTTCTGTTCTTGCATCAAGGACAGCAAAGTATCATCAAATGAGAAAGTGTTAATACTAGTGGAGTATTTGACACAATCTGCACGTTGGTATTCCTGCATCAAGGATCATTCCTCTGCTTAAATTCATAAAACTAAGTGCATGTAACTAAAATAAGCAGACACTCCTATATTAAAAATGCAGTATCCACGAAACATGGAGCTAGAAGGAGGAACCCACTTCAGTTGATCAAAATAAAACCTCAAAGTTCAGCCAACTTCACCAGAAGTAAAGCCTATTGTTATTGATAAGGCTGGGAAGGGGACCAGAAAGAGGCGGATAGAGCATAAGCTGTGAACCAGGAAAACCAAACTATTCACCCAATTTACATATTTGGCAGTTTATCTTTGAGATTTCAAGAGTCTGATAAAAAAAATCAGGACAAAAGTCAAAACACTTATGAAGTAGGACCGAAAACTTAAGGTCAGAAAAATTCCAAGTGACGCTCCACAGACAGTGTATAAGCAATATCTGAGGGGTGGATTTTGGTGGAACAGAAACTAATGTGCTGGCTAAACCGATATTTTATATCTTGAAGCGTGATCAAAAGGGTGGGAAAACTGGAATTGCAAATGCAGCTATTACTACTAGTGGAGACTGGAGAACAACCGTGCACTCCATTTATTCAGATAGCAGATGCAGCTACAGCTACTTCCCTGAGGGCTGGGTCAACTTTTCAGTAGATCATGCTTATCCATTTTGACAAGATAAAGGCACCAGACTGACAAGAACCTCATTGGCTTGAATCCATTGTTAAACCACTGATTCCTGATCACCCGTAGAAATTGTTAATCCGCTAGCATTTTCAGATTCAGAGAACATGATCTCATCTGTCAACTCTCTCAATTTTGCATAAATCTCATGGCAATGAGGATGTGATAGGTCCTCCGCATTGAAAGCATGCACCTCGTTTTGGACTTCTATCCAACTCCAACCAGGTACCTTAGTGACACTCCTTTCCCTCATCAGCCTCTTAATATTAGCTATATTATCCCACTTCTTGAATTGTCGGTACATGTCTGAGAGCAAAACATAGGTGCTATGCTCTCCCGGCTCCAATTCGAGCAAATGGCTAGCCACCTCACTTGCATATTCAATATCACCGCATGATCGACAAGTACCGAGTAGAGTTCTCAAAACCATAGCATCAGGATCAAATGGCATCCCTTTAACTAGATCTTTTGCCTCCTCAAGACGCCCAGCCCGCCCAAGTAAATCAATTGCACAAGCATAATGTTCCATTCTAGGAACAATTCCAAAATCAGCTTCCATAGACTCAAAAAAACGGCAACCTTCTTCAACCAAACCAGTGTGACTGCAAGCAGTCAAGACTGCCACAAAAGTGATATGATCAAGTTTCACTTCGCTTTGTTTCATTAGGAAGAAGAGGTCAAGCACGAGCTTACCCTGCCCATGTTGTGCATAAGCAAACATGATCGAGTTCCAAGATATCGAACTCTCTTTGGGAGAAACTTCAAAGGACTTCCAAGCATCTTCAATGATTCCACAGTTGGAGTACATAAGTATCAAAGCACTGCTCACATACTTATATGACTCAGAGCGCAGTTTTAGTGCAAAGGCATGAACTTGTTGACCAAATCGAAGAGTAGCCAAATCTGAACACGATCTCAGTGTGGCAGAAAAGGAATACTCATCCATCTCCAGGTTTTCCACCCTCATCTTTGTAAACATTTTGAAAGCAATTTCACTCCAACCCTTCTGTGACAATCCGGTCAAAATGGAGTTCCAAGAAACAGAATCCTTTGCATCCAGGTTTTCGAATACTGTCAGTGCATCATCCATAGAGTTTGTGCATGATTTGGCATACACGGAAATCAACGCAGTCGAGATTATAGTTACATTTTCCAATCCCCTCTTGATAACCAAAGCATGCAAACACTTCCCTTGACTGTTATGTCTTACCTCAAAACAACCACTTATTATACTAGTATATGTATAAGAATCCATTTCCAACCCAAGCCTTTCCATGTCCAAGAATAGTTCAAATGCTTGCTTCTCCTTGTCATGTTCTAAATAAGCTGCTAGCATTGAATTCCATGTTACTGAATCTCTGCAACTAATAGTACCATCAAAAACACTTTCCGCACTTTCAATACTGCCACATTGGGAATATGCAGTAATTAGAGCATTAAACACTTTGACTTCACAACCTAAACCAAGTTTTTCAACTTTTCCATGAACCTGCATAGTCAACTTGTAAAACTTATCGTCATTAAGCAACGTTAAAAGCGGAGAGAAGGTTCCATCATCCAGCTGCACTCCCTCTTGCTCCATACCTCTCAACAACCAAAAACCATAATCTATATCACCTTTCCCTGCATACCCTGCTATTATAGCATTCCATGAGACATAATTACGTTCAGGCATGGTTTGAAACACTTCATTTGCATCGTCAACTTTTCCACACTTAGCATACATGTCCAATAGCGCACTGGCGGCATAAACATTCCCGACATAGCCCATTTTAACCACATCACAGTGCACCTGTTGACCTAAGGACAATAAGCCATTAGAAGCAATACCCTTCAGTATGCTTCCAAAAGTATATTCATTTAAACAAAACCCATCTTCTTTCATCAAATTAAGGAACACCCAAGCACTCAGAAATCTCCCAGAATTGACATATCCAGAAATCATGATGTTCCAAGAAGCAGTATCTCTGTGGGGAATTTCGTCGAACATCTTGAGAGCAGTACCAATTTCTCTGCATTTTGTATATCCGTTTAAGATAGGAGTGGCAATGTATGTATCAGTGATGTGTGCTAACTTGAAAGCTCGACAATGGGCTGCCCTTACTTTAGACAAGGATGAGAGCAGTAGCTTCATTCACGACTAAACTACTAGTAATGATATTTGGGAACTCAACTCAACACCAATTCTTGAAAATGTTAGTTTGCTCAATTCTTTAAAAATGATCCTACCTTGAAAAAATTTATTGAGCCTGACAAGTTAAGTTTGAGAAAATATTTAGGGATGGGACAGTGTGCGGGGTGTTAAGAAGAAGCAGGGAAATGGTAGGCAATCCAAAGAAAGAAGGAAAGAAGTGGAATGGATTTAAGAAATTTGGTTGGGGCAGCAGCGACAGGCTGCTTGAAGAAGATGACTGCCTTTTTGTTTTTTCTTTGGTATTTTTCATTTATTTATTTTTTAAAAAATATAAATTTTATACACACTTCGCTTTAAAATTAAAACGCGTAGAATCACGCATCTTTCCGAGTCAGCAATATTAATGACACATATGTTCAATCAATAATCAAAGGTGTTTAATATATTGGATTTCAACAAGTTTAAAAATTCAGTCGGCAAAGTAATAAGTAAAAGAGTTCAACAAACAAATTTGTCTACTGAAAAGTTACCTTTTTATAATAGTATTAATTTAGCAATACACAAATTTAACTGATTTGTCAATACATTACCAATCTTACTCGTACGGTACATCATAATATTGAGAAAGACGTACAATTATTGCCTATAAGTTAGAGCTTATGATCATTTGAGCAGGTTCATTCTCCGATTTATTGAAACATTCTAAACTTTTGTCCAGGCAATAAAAGTACCGTCTTAATGATTTTTGTTTTTTGGAAGCGAATGTTATTTTTAAAATAATTTATTGAGGCAGAAAATTTAAAACTCAAAACAACCGATGCTCTTGTCGTAGATGCAATTGATAATGATACAATATGGCAGTGTATAGTTGGAAATACTTATCGATTAAGTATACACAAAAACATGTCATCCACTTTATTACTTGGGTACATGCCTGGGTAGATATGTGCTCCCCTTGGAATGAGTTTAGCAAGAAACTACTACACAAAGATGGGGAGATCTTCCTTGGTCAATCGTCTTAAGGCTACTGATTCGCGATAGTGCTCTGAAGTATTCACTCTTCTCGTGCCCTTCGTGTCAACCCAAGTCCAGTTCTTATACTTTCCCCGATAACCTTCATGTCTTCCACCTGTGCATTTTGCAACAAATTTAAAAACTGAAGTAAAGGAGATTAAATGACACTGATTGAAACTTATGGAGACACTCAATGGGTATCCCCCAATAAAAAGTTCTATGTAACTCTTCAGGTCTCACAAAATGAAGAAACAGGGTTCCATTCTTTCATTAACCCAATGGTTGCTTAGCACACGTGGCATGAAACGGTATTCTCACCTTATATTTGCCAGTGTCTCAATCTTTTTCCAGATGTCTAAACCGAGCTTCTCACTGCGATAATGCTCAAATCCATCTTATTGGAGAGAAACTCACATCTCGCTTACAAAACAAGTCATAATTTTGATTGATGGCGGTGTCCGGTTCACCTGCATGCACTTATGAATCCACTGGGTGACCTGTTTAGCCTCAAATCATTGATTGCCAGTGGTCCTATCCAGCAACGCAAGCGCAAATGAGATCATACCAAGAGTCGTAGCTAGAAAACAGACATAGGATCTCCAGGTAGTTACTCATATGTACAAACCACAAAGTTTACAACTAAACTAGATCTATCCCTTCTGATCTTCTTTGTGTATGACACTGCTCATTTATATGCACTTCTCTCTCCCTCCTCCCTCCGTCTTCTGACATCATGCCCTTAGTACAGAAACTACAACATGAAATTGATATTTGAGTTTTTGCATGAATACCTTGCCAGCAGTTGAAAAATTACATTGACCAGCCTTGTACTGGATGAAATTAAAAGGTGTTAATTTTACACCTGAACTACACCTATCTTTATCTATATCTTCTTCCAGTAGGACTTCATCCGTATATAAACATTTTCCTACCCTTTAAGATCAAGTGATTAAGTCTGCCAATGTGCTTCATGTAGACAAACACAGTAACACACTACAAGGTTCTAACACATCATACTAGTTAAAAAAGAATTTCATTTTATGATTTTTTCGATCTAATGGAAACAGGAGAGGAAGAAAGGATCCTTTCCGTCTTCTGATGATAAGATGAATAAATAGATAAAAGAAGAAGAAAAAAGTATGTGATCCAACTTCCACAAATTTTGTGTGCATGCAACAGCACACTTAAGAAATATGAGTAAAACACGGTTTCTTTCCAATATCATATGATCCCACAAAAATGAAATGAGATAACCGTATGTAAAACACAAGGTCAAACCAAACAATCTAACATGTAACTTGTCAAATGTCAATAACTGAGTACTTTCCACGAACAATGAACACATCCAATTTGTAACACATGTAAAATCATTAAACATCAATTTGTTTCTATTTTCTAAGACCACCACCAACATCAACAACAACGCCTCAATCCCAAGCAAATAATTCCATCCAAAAATGTTACTCAACCATCGTTCTAACTGTTGCTTAGATTCATAGGCAGGCAATAAGACATCCCAAAATACTTATGAAAAACCTAAAAATTAGTTCTTCATGTCACCGACTAAATATGCCTTAGCTTGAAGGTGTGAGCTGTTTCCATAAGCTTTCAATACTTCTTTTGATGAAGCATAAGCTTTAAGTACTTCACCGAATCCACTACAGTACTTTACCCAAAATGCTTCAGTGCATCCTAAATACTTCCAGAAATTTGTATCAATGGGTTGAATCTAATTTCCATTAAAGCAAGAAAATAGTTCCACTATCACCAACTTGAGACATCACAAAGGCACTAACGATTCATCTCTCCTTGAAAAAACTTTCTTATCCAACTCTCTCCCAATACCCTCCATGATATATTCATGAAATTGGATGTTGTACATATTCCCCCCACCCAGGATCAAGTACATGTTGCTTCGCTGGCAAGCCTACTTAGATTAGGGTTCCAAACCTCAGTTCTTATCAACCTCCGGTGTGTAATCTACATCTTTCTAGCTAGAACTCGGCCAAATAACAATCATTGATTCCCTCTGCCAAATACTTGTATAAGCAGAAAGATTTTCAGCACTGAAACCAAGTCTTCACCAAGCACAGAGAAATGGTGCTATCATAATTTATTCTCAGTAATGCAAATAAACTTCATCCAACCTATAATTGGGGAAGTTCTTAATGCTTACTAATGAACTGTCGGACCTATGGCCATGAAACCTTATCAATCGTTCCAAATAATTGAAAGTCAGAACCTAATTGCCCAAACAAGCTTGAATTCTTACTATGGGATGTTCCATACTCTAATTATTAAAGTTTTCAGCTTCAACACTAAATCTCAGAAGTGTGAATTCACCTAGACATGCAAAAAAGGAACCCAGATAGCAGGTTGTAGCTTAGAAGATAACTAGCATGCAACACAATGCATAATAACACCATCGTAAACCTCAGTTTTCTTTCCAATCTTCCTTTTTCTGCCACAAAAGAAAAACACCTTCCTGAAGAATGGCTGGGAGGCATTCCAAAGGCCTTCTGATTTATTCCAACTGAGTGATGAATAGGATCTCCATTCAAGCTATAACTTAGCAATTGTTCATTCTAATGCCCAAGGACTCCAGAAAGGTGTGGTAAACAGAGGAAAGCACAAAAAAACAATAAACACCACAGCTTAGAATCTTAACTCCATGCCGTCACAGGGAGTATTTATTTCAAATGTCAGTTGAATTCCAAATTCCTCCGCACAAATACATAAACCTTAAAACCTCTAACCCCTACCGATTGCAAGTATATAGTCAGCTTAGGTTTAGTCAACTGAACTCCAACAATACTATAAAAATGACAAATTTCTTTAGTGTATAAAAGAAGTAAGAGCAAAGAGAGAATTTACCGAGTGGATGCCGAAGGCGCGAAGAGAAGCCATGGAGGCGGAGGCGGTGGCGCCGACGAAAAGCGAGGCGACGGCGAAGGCTTTAAGTGGCATCATTCGACATTCGCCGGCAAAACCTCTCCTATAAGCGTAAATTCCCCATAGTAACTGACCTGTACTCGCGGCGGCCCACCATCGGTATCGGGATGTGCCGTCAACGGCGGCGTTTTCTTCGTTTTGGTTCATTTCTGCTTCATCGTGTCCGATCACCGGCGTCGTTGTAAGGAGCTTAGTAGTCGATTTCGGCCTTGTTCTATGGGCTTTTCGTTTGGGCTCACCGTTGGTCCAAAGTAAAACTAGTTTTGGGCTCATTGTCATTAGAACCCGTAAATTTATAAGTTTTTGCCAGTTAGCTTTTGACATGTTTCGTTGTGAAATTTGAAAAAAAAAAAAACAGTTCTTGTTTTTGCATTTAAGTCATACCAGCAACGCCTAACAATTTTGCATGTTTGACACAACTTAAAGACATGCGGTGTTTGAGTTTCATATGAGTGAAGCTTCAATCATTTTTGTATGAATTTTACCCATTTGTGGCTGAATTCAGTCAATTTTGTTTGAAGTTTTGCGCATATGTAACATGTCTGAAGTTGTTCCCAAAGTGAGTAGATGTGAAAAAAACGTGGATATGAGTTAAAATAGAGGTGTCCAAATAGGATGCTCCTGAGAATTTTTACTCTTGACCCAAGTAACTTTGAGTTATTATGACTAAACTATCTATAGATTCAACCCATTTGAACTTACTCAAAATATAGTACAATCCGCTCATTTAACACCTCTGTCTAAGACGAATGGACATCCAGAGAAGTAATGCCACAAGAAAATTAGTAATTACAAATATGATAAACTCAAGGTTTCAATAATGGAAATACAAGTGTTTGTCCTTCAATGTACCATAGAACCAGAGAACACACTTCAAAACAGTACACATAAAATTCAATGGTTTCAACGAAAACATAACTTCCATGTCTCCAGTAGAAACAGAAGAAACAAAGACTCAGGAGACACAGCGGTTTGCAAATAAGTTTTCTAAAATTATACAAGCTGTGTTACCAAACTAAAGTAGGTACAGTATTTCCCTTTGGATGTAGTTGTCAACAACAACAAATGAAAGTAAGGAACACAATCAGAGAGATAAAAACCTCAAAGTTAATCTCTAGTGATCTTTCCAAGTTTCAAGTTAGCACATCAACTGGAAAAGAATCATTATCATATTCGTGTTTCATCCATAACAGGTGTACTGCAACCCTCGAGTAAATCACCAGAGCAAGGGTCTCAATTATGAGTAATAGTTCTTTAGTCTCATCAAATCTTTGAAGACTTTCCCATTTTCAACCAGTAAATTACACTACCAGCAGCAATAGATTGAGAAGTGATGCAGAAAACAAAAATGCATAAGGATTCGACTTACAATTGAAACAAACTTAGTAAACATGTCAAACCAGCGGAAATAAAGGAAGTAGATGGTTGGTGCATACCATGTCCATTGGGCCTCTTTAAGTAATCAATATCTCTAAATATACAAGAGGGTGTGAAGTGTGAACCCCTTACTCTGGCTTAGGAGGTAGTAACTTTCACCATTTAAGCAGATCCCCCTAAGGGCTAAGGTAAGCTAGAGAAAGAATAATCACAATATAGGATGCTAATATTAGATAAGTCATTATAAAGGTAAATGAATTGATGAGGAAAAACTGAACTTGTTACCTTTCCTACTCCTTTTCTGCAACTTGAAATCGTGAAATTAATCCTTCATGAAGATTTTGGCATTAAAGAGATACTATTAAGCATGTGTGATTTAATAGTTAATTATACTTTACATAGATAAAAATATATAGGTCACAACTTGCCAAGATGTTGTGACCGTTATCATCATACTCACATACAGAATATTATTAATGCATGAACAGAAGAGTTAGATTTAGATACCAAAAAGACTCGCCCGTCTCTTCAGAGCTTCTTTGTTAGAAATTAAACTTAATTGCCCCAGCTGATTTGATTCATTGCAAGCAGGAAACCACCTGGCTAACACAGAAAAAAGCACCTGCTGAGCTTCTAGATAAGTTTAACACAATGCTTGCGTTATAGGGAGATGTTTTTCTTGTTACTACTTATCTATATCAAAGTTGCAAGTAAAAGGCACACTTTTAGCAGCATTGTAGTCCTGAAGTCAATTGATATTCCATAATATTAATACTATTCAACTGATCAACTTAACTGCAGGTAGTTTTCAATGTATCCCCTTAGTCCCACTCGCAAGATACAACTGGAAACACAAAAAAGGCATTTCTTTCCAGTTAGACAAAAACCTGATTTGGAACATATTTCATCACAATCACTCAAGAAGATACTGATATTTGGCCCTTTGGCACTGAAACCATCTTCCGTTCATTGTTGAACTACTACCATTTTTTGAAAAATGAAAACCAAGGAAACAACTTGTTAGTCAATGGACTATTCCTGCTTCTGATTGTACAAAACTTATTAACACAAATTTACTCCTTCAGACAGCATAGATCAAACTTGTGCTGATAAATCTGGATAATTTGCACTTTTCATTATAATGTCAAGTGACAGTTACATCTTGTGTTTCAGTCACAAGCCATGCAATTGTTTTAAAATCTCACAATGAGCTATCAAGAGCAATAAAACAAGAAGGATGTACAAGTCAAAATCTTTTCATTTGATAACCATCTAAAAGATTGACCAACAATTAGCACTCTGATGTGCCTTAGCAACTTATTGAATCATTTTCCTTTGAGAAACTATCAGACCACTTTTTAGGGGCATCTGGATGAATGTCAGAGATGCGAGCCATAAACATTTTATCACTAGTAGCAACAATACTTGCAAGAGAATATTTATACGGACACCAATCCTGTTCTCTAAGCCACTTATGGAATTGGCAACGGGGCATTATCCTCTTCTCCAAGTCATAACATAAACAGGATGGGAAAGCACAAAGCTCCTCCTGTGATAATCCCATATCCAGGAAAAGAAATTTTATTTTTTGCTCAAGAAATTCAGCTTTCTGGTTCAGAATCTTTGGAGACACTGTAAGCATTTTGCAGAGTGTCGATAACTTAATTCCACCACGAAGTAGGCAACCAAACCGTTCCTGTAACTCATCACCTGGACCATGCAACAGAGACAACACTTTCATTGTCAGCTTGTTTTCTCCAAAGCCAATCCCATGCAAGAAATTTAATTTATGAAGGGTATGAAAGGGTGTTCTTGTTGCCTGAATTTTCTGCAAATGCTCTGCATAATCTTCGTCAAAGTCTTCAACACTGCCAATAACATAGTTACCTAACAGACCATGACCACCATTTTTTAGTCTGTCAAAGAACCATTCATTTAGATCCAATGATCTCAAAACATGAGGTACATTAGCTATTCTATTTCTACCCATAATGTATTGGTATGTTTGGGCAATCAATTTTCGTTTATTTACACCCAACCCGAAATGTTTCAAAAATCCTACCGTCGAAATCATACGAACTTCCAAATCAAAACTCAAAATCTCAGGCTTCGATAGAACTAAAAGTCCAATCTCTTCTTTTCTCACATCTAGTCTACAAAAAAAATCAATCTTTTCAGCCAAAACCTCTTCAGAGTAATCAACAAAAATGCTTTTATTTCTTCCCATCAATTCACCAATCTTCCCTTTCTCACAACCCAATTCATAAAACATTGCAATTTTCCTACAAATCTCAAACCAAGCATGTACATTTCCCTCTACAGAACTTGCAAGATCAAAATCCAGAAACACCCTTTTCAAATCATCAAACAGCATATCAATTTCATCCTCACTCTTTTCACCCAGGACATGTGGGAAAGCTAGGCAAATACCAATAACAGCAACATTACAAAACCCGTATCGTTCAATATATGAAAGCCTCTCTTCCAATTCATAAGGCTCTTTACTAAAAATTGAAACATCCCCTTTGTACAAAATACACAATTTGTTCCAGGGGAAACCATAACAAGCAAGAGAACAAGCAGCATCAAAAACTTTAGAGTCTTCACACAAGAAGCATTTGTTCATATGCAACATAGAACTAATTTCTACATGATTTATACCAATGCTCTCAAAGAAAAACTCAAATTCATTAATGGGGTGGTACCTTAAGAACCTCTGAATGGAATTGGGAAAGCGATTACGAGAAAATGGGACTTTAGAAACAAGAGCCAAAAGGGAAAATCGCGAGTTTTTACCCATGTACTCAGCAAAACAGAAGGGTAAGGATCTAGTGCTATGGAAGTATTCAGTGAGTACTTCTTGAGCTTGTAAAATCGCTTGGGGCCTATATTTTGCTGGAATCTTGGACAGTGTTGGAAGCTTTTGGTGTGTATTTGTGGAGAAAAATTGGAGCTTGAAAGTTACATAGAGGGATTGAAGTGTTGGGGTTTTACAACGAGAGAGCATTTCTGGTGATTGGGTTGGGAAGTAGTGTTTCAGTAGTCTTATAGAGAATTTAGTAGAAAAATGTTTACCTCCGGCGAGTGTTGACGGAGGACATTCCGGTGAGTTTGTCGGCTTTTCTTGAACTGAACTGCACAAGGGATCGCCTGTGGGTTTTGACTGTTTTGGAACAATTGAAGAAGTTGCAGTATCGTCCCTGTAATATTAGTATTTGTATGTTTGGATCAATATTTTTTTCTTTAAGTCATTTTGAGTCATTTCTATTAAGTTATCGTTTTTTTTTTAATTCAATTTGTGCAATGAATGACAAATTTCATTCGATAAATAGGAGGAAATATTTTTTAGTCATTTTTAATTGGTTAAAGACACTATTTATCTTTTTTCTGAAAGCACTGTTCACAAAGTAAAGTAAGTTAATATTGATTCTTAATATTTGTACATTTTACGTGATCTAATAAATTATAGTTCAAAGGTATCTTCTTATATTGTTTAATTCAATTCAAAACTTACATAAAAAATTCAATCTGAAGTCTAAAAAGTATTAAAAAAACTTTTGATACAAAAATAAAATTTGAAAAAAATAGCAATTTTATAAAAAATATATTCGAATATTTTCAAAAAATCTAAAATATTTTAAATTTAAATTAAATAGACTCTGTGTGGAGAAAGATGTTGAAGGCCTCTCATATTTTGACATCAAAACTTACCATTGGTTTATATAATTTTAATACCATTATATATTTTCTGGTAAAATATATTAAGAACTATTTTCATTATATAAAGGACCAAATGAGACCAAAGCTCATACATGAAGGATCATTTTGATAATTTTCTCAAAGCAAACACTTTAACAAAATATGTAAACACTCGAACTTTGTTATACGTTCCTCCATCTTTCTTCACTCTTCCCTTTCATGTCCTATTATCCTCCAATGGCTAATTCGCAGCAAATCGAAACCTCCATAAACCCTAACCCTAATCCTCCTCCTCCGGGATCCCCACCGTCGGCTGCCGCCGTTATTTCTCGACCGTCAGATGAAGAAACGAATCGTTCCGCCACAGCTAAACGTCCACGTGAGGAATACGCCGCCGGCACTACGGACGAGGCTGGTTTGTTGGGGGACGATGTGCCGCCGTTGAAGAAGCGGGTTAAGGTTTCTCAAGATGTAGTGTACCGTATTGTTGTTCCGTCAAGACAGATCGGGAAAGTTATTGGTAAAGCAGGGCATCGTATACAGAAGATTCGTGAAGAAACTAAAGCTACTATCAAAGTTGCTGATGCTATTGCTGTGAGTTATAATTTCTTATTTTATTAATTGTTAAATTCTTGGAAGCTCGAATTGATTATATGGGTAAATTAGGACAATTGTTGCAATTGCTTTTGTTAAATTATATGGGTAAATTAGGACAATTGTTGCAATTGATTTTGTTAAAATTTGGGGGTTTTTTGGAATCTAATTGAGAAATTATTTTTGTTTAACTGTTGGCTGAATTGCCGAGTGATCAATGAATAGTGTTGGCCTGAAATGAGCTTGAGTGAAAAATATGATCAGCGAGGATTTATATAATTTACTGCAAATTGAGTTTAGGTTTGAGGTGCAGTTGTTGTGTTGGCGTAGAATTTATTTCGCTGTTATGTATTTGATATTTGCAGCGTCATGAAGAGCGAGTAATTATCATTAGCTCCAAAGACAATGATGATATGTTTAGTGATGCGGAAAATGCCCTTCATCAAATTGTGTCACTTATTTTAAAGGTAACGTGTTTTATGAATGATAACCTATAAAGTCTTTTGCTTTGAGCATTTCCTGTTTATATACTAGCAAGAGATGTCTTTTAACAGTATGTTTGTAGTCTTCTTTCCTACATTTCATGATAGGACCTTTTGATATGTCAATTACATAAAAAAACTGTTTTGACGTCTAATCCTTGTTATAGCTGGTGTGTCTTTACAATAAATCTAAGAATCTTTTTCCTGCTTCTGGTGCCAAAAATTTGAGTCTTTTTGGCTGTTTTTGGAGGCTTAAGGATAGATTTGTTATTCTCATTCCCCAATTATTTCCAGTTTTTCCATAAGTGCGGCAACAATCTCTGGGTGTACAACTTCTAAAAAATAAAAAAGTAATCCCTTTAGCAGCAATTACTCTGCCAACTGTTTCTGGACCATCAGTTTTAGGTGATTCCTCTTGTCCTGATATCTTTATATGTGTGTATCTATGTATTGTATACATACATATATAGTGTGATCTTGGGCAACCAATTTTGAGAGATCATGATTATATCCTCTGTGATACTCTCTTGGATCTTACAATTATTCTCCAGAGAAGAGGAGATTGAATTGGTTAGGCCATTAAGATTTTCTCTCTTTTTGATATCCTTGCCTTGAGAGTGGCTTATGTATATTAGGTCGTCTGAGTTCCCTTTCCCTTTCATAAAGATAAAAGTTGAACCATCTTCTTCTTGAACAAGGTTGTCACTGCTGCTATGTGTGATTCTGCTTGTTGTTTCAAGGTTTACCCATGAGAGCTTTCCCAGGGGAACTGATCCTTGCCCTATTTTTTTTTTACCATGATAGGATGATGGTGGCAACCTTGACGCACAGAAAGTTGGTGCTGGACATGTGGCAGCAAACACAGTAAGGTTCTTGATTGCTGGTTCTCAAGCAGGTGGTTTGATAGGAATGTCAGGTCAAAATATTGAAACTTTGAGGAATTCTTCTGGAGCTACGATCACAGTTCTTGCTCAACATCAGTTGCCTCTATGTGCATCTGCTCATGAGTCTGATCGTGTAGTACAGGTGAGAAGTTGGTACAATTGGCCAGTTCATTGCTTAAATTGTTTGCATGTCTATGTTTCGCACATTTGGTATACTGATGGTTTCTTCAATAAACTACTGTCCGATAGATGTCATATCAAACCATTTATTTCTGAGGTGGATAGTGTAGTATAAAGCAGTCAAATGTTTGACAATATGTATGGAACATTGGATGTCTGTCGTAGAAAACCTTATATTTTTGTAGTTTCTCTACTTTCTGATGTTTTGCTTGTGCAACGGTGTTTCCCCATCATTAATATAGTTATTTTACCTTAAAAGAAAACAGGCAAATCTTAAAAGAAAAGCTATTGTTCAACTAACTTTGATTAAGTTTCTAGCATTATTTGCACATGTAGTTATTTGATTTATCACATGCTTTCAAGGGTTCTCTGTGCTTATGTTTTGTTGTGACCAGGCTCAACTATAGCTTTAATCATTGTTCATTTGTTTGTTGTTAGCTTGAAGTTGTTAGGCAGTTTTGGGATATCAGCTGTCCTGTATAACCTATATAGCCTATAGCTTTAGTCACTGTTCATTTGTCTGTTGTTAGTTTGAATTTGTTAGGCAGTTTTGGGATTTTGTTTGTCCTGTATAGGGAGATTTTTGTTTTGTCTAGGACTTATCTATTTTTAAATTATTTCTATCTATTATTTCTACCTTTAAGAGCTTTAGCATTTTAAACTTGTTTACTTTCGTTTTGCTTCCTAATTCAGCTTGCAGGAGACATCCCTGCGGTCTTGAGAGCTGTGGTAGAAATTGGCTGTCAATTGAGGTTTAGTAATTTTCTGAGTCAAGGGGGTTTAATAAATTTTAATTGGCGTAATTAGGCTTGTTTGATTATTCTAAAACTATTCAATCCTAATGTGTATTTGACAGGGATAACCCCCCTAAACAAGTAATTTCGATCAGCCCGACATACAATCTTGGTTATTCTCGCACACCTCAACCACATGTGGATCCATCTTCAGGTTAATCAATCTTCTCTTATAGTATTTTTGAGCTTCTGGACTGATACACTTGGTGCTATATGAAATTTTAATTGTATATTTATAATAATAACATCATCCTTGGGGCTACACTCTTGCAGCTGAATATGTTAATCTGACTATGTTAGTTCCCGAATCATTAGCTGGTGGGTTGATTGGAAGGTGCGGCTCCAATATTTCACGGATCCGTGCAGAGTCTGGAGCAACGATTAAGGTGCATAAATAGCCTTGTAGGATCTTTTAGATTTCTCTCTTGTTGTTTAATGTTTGTGGTCTTGCTTTGTAGGTACACGGCGGGAAAGGTGAGCAGAAACAAAGACAAGTCCATCTTGGTGGTAGTGCACAACAGGTGAAACTTAATTTCTATATCTCACTTCTTTTTGGTTTGTTCATTTCTTGTAATTTATGTTTATTACGAGTTATTTTTTGGTGAGCTGCAGTTGTATGTCACCCTTAGTTTCGTTTGACAATATCGGTTCTAAAATGGAACTGTCTTGGAGGATTTAATCCTAGAATAAGCATAAAGATCTTCAACTAGTCTCTTGTAATTTTAACTTGGTTTACCTTTGGAAAAGGTCAATCAATGAGATATCAAGGATTTCAGATCATGTTGCGTCCTTTAATAAATTTTTATGTTTAACAGGTCGCCCTTGCAAAGCAAAGAGTTGATGAATATGTCTATTCCCAGTTGATGTTACAAGCTGGTGGTGAGCAGCTACAGGATACAATGCAGCTCCAGCAGCAGTCTATGCAGCTGCAACAGTCTATGCAGTTGCAACAACAAATGTAATTTTTTGTGTACCCTATTAACTCATAATTGGGTAAGTCTAAAATATATAATTTAGACTCCTGTCTGGCATCTAACTTTTCAATGTCGCTTGATGCAGACCCAACACATCTGCTACGCTGATGCCAGGATATAATCATGGTCATGGAGTTTATATGAACAGGTAGTTGCATACAAATTGTCCTTATAAAAGCTGATTGTTATCCCATTATAAGTATCAAAAAGTTTCTGGTACTTTTCTCTGTCATAGTAAAATGAGCGAAATTTTTGCTACAGTTAAGTTGACAGTCTGACACTGACCCTAAGGTGATTATGACATTTCTTTCTCATGCTCCAGTTGACTTGATCATTAGCTCTTTCAGGGTTGGTTTTTGGGTCAATAACTTAGATGCTTTGCTAGGATTTCTTATCCACTGGTTGTAGACTATTTACTTTGCTAGTTGATGGAATGACAATAGTCTATTCTTATATTTGCAGTAACCAAGAAGCTCATATGATGACATCATACCCACAAGTCTACACATCAACCAACCCTCAAGCTCCTGCTTACTATGGTCAGTCTTATCCAGCTCCACAAATGTAGAAGCAAAAGGGGGTCTTTCTCGTACAGCTTTTCAATCAGATGATTGATATACACAATGTAGACAATTTCTTGTTGTGTCATTATTTGGGTTTCTGATATAAGCATTGGAGATGGTCGTTTCGGCCAGGATGTCTCTTGTTGATGTTGCAACATAGTTTGCATGAGATCACTTAATTCGTGGAATATTGATGGAAAAGTTTATGCTTAAAGTTTTACGATCAGCGAATCTAGTACGTCTCTGGGAGCGGCAAATCTACTGAAGGGAGCTTATAATAGCAGTTGCATTGAAGGTATAAGCATAGCCCTCTGGATCTTCTGCCCCTTTGATCTCCTCTGCTTCCACCCTGCCCGACCCTACCCCTTGAAAAAGCTCCCAAACCCCGCCCTGGTTTACCTTTGCTGCTTGATTTTCATTTAGCTCTGTTGTTTCCATCAGAACAGAAACAGGGATGTGAAAGATTGCATTGCACGTCAGACGCGGTCACCTCCCATTGAACTGATTTCTGAAGAACTTTTAAAAAGCACTTCGTGTGAATGATTTAGAAATGAGATGATCAGGAGTGATGGACGAGGGAGGACCGATGGAGAAGCAGAGCTCAGGACAATGGGCTGCAGCAAAAAGATTGACCCTAATTCATCGGTTCAATTATTTCTTTTTGGCTCCCAAACCATCCAAATCCCATCACCCCTCTTCCTTCTCCCTACCCCTTGCCATAGAGTGTTCCCTACCCCCTCCCCACACCCCGCCCAGCACCATCATGCATATCGTTCCCCTAATCCTGCGCAGCATTGTCACCGTGTATACGCTCCCATAAGATACACTGCCATGTCTTTGACTCATTTGTCTTTGTATTTGTTAGGTAGAAGCTCATTGACACATTGCGAGTCAATCTCTTACAAAACAGGAGTGGTGTTTATGTTAAGCATGGTATACAGGTCGTTGGAAATTTAAAATCGATGTTGCCTAATATCTTTGAATAATTGTGATGTTACTAGATTTCTCATGCAAATGACAAGGCTCGTAAAAAAATGACCACAAACAAATTTGGGATTTTTCTTTGAAAGTGTATTTCTTTCAAATCTTCTTGATGAATCGAAAGTGATATGGATGTTTGGTTGGACTAATTAGAAAAATAATTTCTGTATCAACACAACGGTAGGTTGAATAAATTTCTTACAATGCTATGCTGTTTAGTCGGTAAAGTTGTATATTTTATACTTTTAAGAAAAGAGGACTAGCCCGACAAACCCGTAGCCCGCATACTTGTGGGCTGGGCCGACTATTTTCTAGTCCACACAAAAAATGGGTTAGCCCGGCCTAGCTCGTCAAATTTCAAAGGTTGTATGGGTTAACCCGAATGGAGTGGGTCAGCCCATATTGACAGCTCTACGGTAGACATTTAGAAAATAAGACACCCCTTTATCTAATTTTTTTTTTTTTTTTTTAACCGTGGTTTCCGGGCGTCGCTTTGCGAACCCGACTAGCTGTACCCACCGGGTCCCGCTGTTTCAAGGCGGGTCCACCACGGTTAGTTCCACGGGGCCCTGGAGACGCGGCCGGTTTGTAATGCCTCCAGTGGCCCTGCTGGGGCTCGAACCGGCGACCTGAAGGACTTTGTCCCAGGCCTTTACCAGCTGAGCTACCCCTCAGGGTTACCCCTTTATCTAATTGAGTGTAGTAATAGAGCAGGTTAATTTTCCAACTTGCACAGTTTCTTCCAGTTTTAATTAGCATGAAAAAACTTGCAAAACCAGAAAGTTGAAAAAAAAATTGAATAATAACATGAAAGAAAAACGATGTGACTGCAGAATATCACTTTCATCTATAATTAACTCAACCCAAATAACAAACTGACAAGAAAAAAAGTTAAAAAGATCAGTGCTTATCATTAATATTAGTACACAGTAATAACTATTTGAATTACATATTTTATATCTAATGGAATAACTCTAGGAACCTTCAGTTCTGGGGACCTTAAGCAAGTGGCCTATGGGTAGAGCCACCTGAGAACAAATTCTCAAACAATTTGGGGGCCATTTCTGGAAGATTTACAGGCTGATTAGGAGCCATGAAATTGACAATCTTTTCATGAATATTGTACCTGCAAGAACAAAAACCAAACTTTATAATCCAGGAAATCAAAATGCAACCTTGCATGATATAATCGATAATGAATTACCGGATTTTACGACTCTTTGAAGCACGACGATCAACAATCTTTCGTTTCTTTGTTTGTAGTCTCTTCAACGCATAGAATGCTGTCTCTGTAGTTGATACACAATTGGTTAGTTTTAGGTGTTCTTTTTCCAGGAAGCAAAAAAGCCTAGAAATGCATTCTCAGCCAAACACAAGAACTATAATCATATAAATACATTTTCTGAGAAATTCTCATCTATAGCTGTAATCTTTAGAAACTTATTCATGCTGCATAGATGCGATGAAAAAAGTAGATTTGGTATTCGTGTAAAAGCAGGGATCTTTCTGAAATGACAGATACACAATTCATGTGAAGAAAGCAGGCAACATACTTGAAGCAACATAGTAACCTAAAAAAACCATTTCACATTAAACAGTACCAATAGCTGGCATGTGATGGTCAAAATCATAGGAGAAAGACGGAAAAACATTGAACAGTACCAACATTCTTGATGTTGCAGGTATCACATCAAAGGTGAGGATAACCACATTTTCCTGATAACATAAATCACCATAGAGGAAGGTGGTACTTCTGAAACATAACCAGCTTATTTTGAAGAGGGTGGAGGGGGTTGTTCAACTTACCAGATGATGAGGGATCTACAGCCTCAAAGAACTCCTTCAGCAATTGCTGATAGAATTCAGAGTCATCCAGAAGTTCCGGATCACCATCCATGTTTGTTCCCTGATCCAAGTTAAGGATAATGAGACGTGCTTTTTTTATAAAGAAAAACTATCCATGCAAGAGCATTCTCAAGCAAAAACTAATGCATTTGTATATGAAGAATGACATTTTCCACTGTTGTACCAATGGCATAAACCTGACAAAGCTAGTAGCATGCCTATATTTGTCTAAGCAACACAATCAACAAGGAGATTTACTGGTCTACTCTTATCAATTGGACTTTAACAGAAAACACTATTCAGGGCCAAATATTCACAAAATGCATAAATAACACATTGATACCTCTCCATTGCCAGTAGCATCTGGAACCTGCATAAAAGCAGGCACATAAATCAAAACTAAGATAAACGGAAGAAAAAAAAATGTCATAAACATTAAGAAACATAGCCTTCCTCAAATCAACTCACAAAGTTAAACTTACAGTTCCAAATAGGGCAACTGCCGATCTACTTTGCTGCATTCCTTTTATCATTTTGGTAGGATCTCTCATATAACCAGCTACTTGTTGACTAATATCCTGTACAATATCACAACATTAGTTCTAGACATTGTGATCGTTGCTGTACATAGCATCTTTCAAGTCCCAGAAATAAACCTGATTAAATGCTTGCAATTTGCCTTTGATCGCGGCAGCACCAGAGGTCACCTGGGTCTTTCTCTGCCATTTATCTATCGATTTATCCCTAAAAGCAGCCATCCTATGACACAAGAATTGCCAATAACAGACCAATCTATTTAGCAAAGGGAGAAATGGAAAAACAAACTTATCGCATGAGAATACAATGCTGAGAAAAGGCAGGGTATTAGCTAGTCTCGAACCTAACTTTGGAGTTAAGAAAATACTCGTAGTTATGCAGATTTTGTTCCTAGCTAAGATGTATATAAAATCTGACTCCAGATCAACACTAATAACGGGATGCGGGACCTAATTCTTCACAGGGGAAGCAAGATCTAACCTATTGCTTAGAAGAATGCAATAGATTATGAGAAATAATCCCTAGAACAAAAGCAATCGAAAAGGTAATCTACAACATTCGAGGACTTATGGCCCCTAGTTTCCACACCCTCCGGTTTAGACAATTAAATTAACAATTCTAACATGGATTAAAAATCTGATGATGTTGCGATCAAGGTTCTTCCCCTCCTTTTTCATTTGATTTCCAGTTGTGTTTAGCTCAACAATCAAATGGTAAAAGCAAATTGCTATCTTAATTAGCCCTCATTAATTCAAATGAAAACTTATACTTGCTCTATCCCAATTTGTACGAATCTTTCAATTTTGGGAGGTCCAAAAATATTTGACACCAATTTCATTTCTACATGACTTTCAGAACCTTCAAGAAGTCCAAATTCCAAGTTTTAAAGTGTGGTATGATATTTTTTTTCTGCCAGCTAACTTCTCGACCATTGCTTGATTTGCTCTGCACTATGACTAATATATTGCCAAGTCAAATTAATATCCTATACTCTTCATAGATTGTCATATAAAATGTGACTTGAGGTGAGTATAAGGTTAAACGGGAACTTACATACACATTGTTCTTATTTTGCTCTCAGCTCTCTAGAACAAGACATGTCAGACAGACAGGCACATACATGGAGTAAAGGCATACATACTTGGGAACAGTAGAAAATAAATAAGAACAAGATAACTTGTGTTTCTCTTAGGGGTCGTTTGGTGTGAGGGATAAGAATAAATAGTTATGGGATAAAAAAATAGTCTTGGGATAATATTTTAGTTTCTTGTTTGGTTGTCATGTTTGGGATATCTTATCCCACCATTTATATCAGGAAAAGTTATCCCATATACATGGTGGGATAAGTTGTACCAGCATAACTAATCTCAAGATAATTAATCCTGGGATAACTTGTTCCCAACCAAACGACCCCTTAGAGGTTTAAGATAACTGTGACACAAGTCTTATCTTGCTCTTGGGGAACTGCACATTCAGACATGTCATACAGATGGACAAAGGCATGCATGGAATAGACACATAGGTCCTGGGAAGAGATAAATAAGATAAATGAAAAGAAACTGGTTTTCCCTTGCTCATAGGTAATGGAAACTTGAAAGTGTGCAAGGAAGACGAGGTAGAACAAAGTGAAGATTGCATCCACCAAATTCTGTTACCTCTCCCACTTAGGCCTTAGCCTCTTCCAGCACCAGTCTCTTGCTCATTTAGATTGAGTAAAACACAAAGAGAACTGCACTTTGCATGCGAACATTTCGCTCAGATAAACTATTATACCAAAATTTGGTTCACGTTC